CCCTGTCTCACCCCTGTCACTGGTGCACACTGCAGTCCCTGTCTCACCCCTGTCACTGGTGCACACTGCATTCCCTGCCTCACCCCTGTCACTGGTGCAAACTGTAGTCCCCGTCTCACCCCTGTCACTGGTGCAAACTACATTCCCTGTCTCACCCCTGTCTCTGGTGCAGAGTTGCCGCTAACCCCTGCAATTGCCCATTTGCCCCACATGTGCTGGAGTAGTGCCTGACGCCCATGTTTCCTTCCCTGCTGTGGCAGATGCACATGAACAGCAAGCAGAAGGTGCTGGTGATGGAGTACTGCTCGGGGGGCAGCCTGCTCAATCTCCTGGAGGAGCCGGAGAATGCCTTCGGGCTCCCGGAGACCGAGTTCCTCATCGTGCTGCAGTGTGTCGGTAAGCTGACAGGGGGCAGCAGTGTGCACTGTGCCCAGGGCAGGGGACACAGGCCCTGCACTTTATTGCACTTTTAATGTTAGAAGTGAGTTTCCTGCAGTGCTCCTATAGGGAAACAGGCTGAAATAACTGAATAAAAGACATTTAGAATTAGATACATTTTGTAAAGGTGGGCGCACAATTTAGTAAGTTATCAGAAGATAAACTCTTTAAAAATGACTTATTATCCATATTGTAAGGGACAGAGGAAAACAGAAAAGGGATACAGTTGATTATTCAGTTAATAATTCTGATTCTTATTACATCATCAATAATTACAAATAAAGGAAGTGGAGTACGCCCAGTCATGACAAAGATCATTGTAGGAGACAGTGCAGATGCACAGTGGGAGGAGCTTAAAATAAACACCTGAAAACATACTGGACTGTGCAAACAGCAGGAAGAAATTGCAACACAAAAAATGATAAGCAGGAAGTTTAGGTCTGAGACAGGTTTAAGGTGTGATCTTCTGTCGAGGATCAAAGCTTGTTCATGCCTCAGGAGACTTCCAGGAATCTCAGAAACACAGAACTCCCACTGCAGTGAATAAGTCCCAGATTAAGTCAAACAAATTTCCACCTCCCTAGTAACAGCACACCAATCGCAGATCCTGGGTTTTCCGGCGTGTGTGCTCAATGGTGGCTTTCTGACGGGGAGGCTTGTAGATTGGGTGTCGAAGGGGCTTCCTGTAAGAGTGCGTTCTGGGAGCTTGCAGAGTCGGTTCCTGGAGTGATGCAGGTCTGGTGCCGGTGCTGGGCGGGATGTCGTCCCCGTGTCTCACAGCCCCTTTCCCGGCATCCCAGTGTCTGGCATGAACCACCTGCGCCAGAACAGCATGGTCCACCGTGACATCAAGCCCGGGAACATCATGCGCCTGCTGGGCGAGGACGGCCTCTCCGTCTACAAGCTCACCGACTTCGGGGCAGCGCGGGAGCTGGAGGACGACGAGAAATTCGTCTCCATCTACGGCACGGAGGAGTACCTGGTGAGGAAGGAGGGAGACGGACCGGAGGGAGGGAGTCGGGGGGGGGATGGGCGATACTTTGCCACACTTTCGCACTCATGCAGCAGAAGCCCCCTGTTCAGCAAGCCGTTTTCTTGTTTGTAGCGTAGCTGGCTCGTCTAGATTCATGGCTTCTCTGCTGTGAATCCTTCAGGCAAGGGCTATCCCATGCAACACTGATTGACATGAGAAGATGCAAGCTGCCTGGCCACTGTTTCTGCCCCGCGTAGCTGCTCGCTGAACTCTTACTTTCACAAGAGTCTTGCAGTGAGCCAATGCGCCAATGAAATTTGGATCTCCAAAATCGCCATCCTCTTCACCGTAGCTTTTTGGAATTGTTAAACCTTTTCGGAGGGAGTCAGCGGCGCTCTCACATCAGCGCCAGCCAGCAGGGTTGGATCCGGGGCTGCACGGGGTGGGGGGGGCGCTGTGACGCGTCTCTGTTTCTGTTTCTGTCCAGCACCCCGACATGTACGAGCGGGCCGTTCTCAGGAAGCCTCAGCAGAAGTCGTACGGCGTCACCGTGGACCTGTGGAGCATCGGTGTGACGTTCTACCACGCGGCGACCGGCAGCCTTCCCTTCGTGCCGTACGGAGGACCGCGCAGGAACAAGCAGATCATGTAGGGGCCTGGCGCTCCTGCTCTGGGAGCTGAGAGCCACATTATACCCTCTCCGCGCCTTTCTCCTGCTGAACATGCCATCAGGTGTAGAGCTCCTATTGCTCGTATTGCTCTTCCTGGTTTTTCTGTTCTCGTAATTGCAATTCCCGTGCAGTACAGCAGGGGGGCTGGACCGAGCCCATCACTGGTGTCTTCAGTCAGGCTGATGAAAGGATGCCTTTCTCTGTCACATCCTTGTGCTGCAGAAGTGAAGATCTTGCTGCTGCCCGTGAAAGCACCCTGGAAGCCCAAGATCATGATTGTTCCCCTGTCTGTTTCGACTCCACCAGGTATAAGATCACCACTCAGAAGCCGCCAGGGGCGATAGCAGGGACTCAGAGGGTGGAGGATGGGCACATAGAGTGGAGCTACGAGCTTCCCATATCCTGCCAGCTGTCCACGTGAGTGCTCAGGCTTCTTCCTTACCTTGGAGCAGTATACATCTGCAGTCTGACCTCTTCGGGTGTTTGTGCTGCGTGATGCATCAGTATGAACGAACCTGCACGTCTGCCCCTTGATGCCTGTAGCAGGAGGTGCACGTGCCACAGTGTTAATCAATTAAGCAGTTTAAAAAGTTCCTGTTTCCTGTTACAAAGTAAGGAGAACTTATCGCAGTGTACCCTCATGTGTTTTGTATAATGACATTGTACATTGCTGGCATTTAAGTATATGTAAGTGAGTTCTCAAAAAGCATTCTTAGTAGCATCGCACAGGGCACTGTGCTAGTTAAAAGCATGTCATCGCGGTCTGGGCAGCGAGTCTGTGCGCTGTGCTGGGTTGTCGTGTGCAGCCACGGCTCTTCTGTCTTTATCGCAGGGGGCTGAAGGCCCAGCTGGTGCCGGTGCTGGCCAACATCCTGGAGGCCGATCAGGAGAAGTGCTGGGGCTTTGACCAGTTCTTCGCCGAGACCACGGGGATCCTTGACCGAGTGCCTGTCCACGTCTTCTCCCTGCAGCAGGCCTCCAAGCACACCATCTACATCCACCACTACAACACGTGAGCGCCTTTTAATCCCAGCGGCCCAGTGTGGTACTGCCAGTTGTACTGATGAAGCAGTGACGCGCCCACGTGCTACTGAAACTCATCAGGACTTCCTGCAGGCTTTCAGGTCACCTGATGCAGTTCGTTCAGGATCATGCATGTGGTGTGATATTGATCCCCGTCTGCACAGCCTCAGCTGTGACCAGAATGTCTTCCGAAACCAGAGGAAGGGTGTGTAACATGCAGGAAGCTGGCTGTCCAGTCCAGACATGCACAGACGTCCTTATTTCAGTCACTGGGGTTTTTGTAATTTCCTCCGTTCTCATTTCTGTTGGCACTGCCAGCTTCTTAATTATTTCAAAAGTGGTTAATGAACTATTTTATGTTTTTAAGGAGTATGTTTTTTTTATGTTTTTGTACTACAGTAGCTAAACTGGAATGCACTGGACATTTCAGAGTTCTGAGTGTCCAAACAGTGCTATTCACTTGAGAGACCTCCTCTCTCACAAGGAATTGGTGTACCTCCTGGTCAGCTCTTGGCAGGAGTTCAGGCCTGGCTCACCCTCTCCCCCTCTCCCCCTCGCTGCTCCCAGGGCCTCCATCTTCTTTGAGGAGGTGTTCAGGCAGACGCAGGTGAGTCCTGAACAGCAGCAGTTCCTGTTCCACGGGCATCCCTTGCTCCTGGATCCCACCATGAAGGTGATGAGCTTCCCGCCAACCATACCTGACCGGCCAATCTTCCTGATGAGCCGCGAGCTGCAGAAAACCGTTGGAGTCCTGTACCGAGAGCGTAAGGACACCTCGAGTCTGGTCCCGGCTTGTGTTTATATCAGCATAGCTCCGCTGGGATTTCTTTATAAAATCTTTTTAATTGCTTATTTTCTGCAGGTTCACAGCTTATGTCTCTGTACTGTAGACCTCTGTCCTAGAATGTCTTTTTCTTGTTTTGAACACAATATGGCAATCTGCCTTGTCTCTCCTTTCCTTCTGCACTTTGTGTTTGTGCTCTATAAAAGCCATCACAGGCATCACAAGTGACTCAACCGTTAAAAAGGTTCTCACTCTGCTTGGAGAATCCTGGTCAGACTCGCCTGGCAACATGGCCCAGGCTCAAACTTGTGAGCACAGAACTCAACCTGTTCAGCAGCACAGCAAGCCCTGCATCCTCTAGGGCACTTGCTGACTTGCACTGATCCTCTAGTACAGGGCGGTACTTCCTGTGATGTGTTCAAAGATGAGTGGTTGTAAGATGGGCATTATGGAGGAGACTGCCTGCGCTTCCTTGTTCTTTCCCCTGTGCGGTCACAGGGTTCGTAGCTGCAAGCCTAGACGTGAAAGGCACACCATTGTTTAAATTAAAGTTATGGGTGTATCAGTCATTTTGGGTATCTCTTAAAATAATAGGCAATTCTGAATTCAGAAAAAAAATAATCTGAACTCCATCAGGAGTTATATCCTTATAGCCTGCCCCTCTGCTGTAAATATACGAGACCAGACAATGAACACATCTGTGTTTCCACGAGTTTTTGCGTTCCAAACTTTCACTAGCTGCTGAAGATGATCTGTTTAACTTACTCTTTCCTTTCCTCCTTTCCACCCCATTTATTAGCGGAAACCCCAGCTGTACCTCCACGGTTTGATGTGGTTGCAGATTTTTCTTTCACTAAGGTAGGTGTCCACCTAAGAAATGAGAAGGTGTGTTGTGACGGAAGAGCTGATGGTGGTCACCACGCCCAGTGCAACTCTGCAGACGGCTCTCTCTCTGTTCCCTCTTCTCAGAGTATTGTGGGCATTATTCACCAGTATCTGAGGATTGCACAGTCTTTGCTGAAGTGCCAAGAGCTGCTTTTGAATGGATTCTATAGCTTTTTGTGAGTATACCTACAAATCACAAGAATTAGAAATCCTGAGCAGTTCTATAGCACTTTAAACCCATAAGGACTCTTTGAATTTGAATGTAGCAGGTGACCCCCCTCTTCCACCTCTGGAGTGCAGTGAGTCTTAAGTGGAATCTATCAAAAGCACTAGAATTGTGTTCCCTGTCACAATACTGGGGCATGTGAATGGAGATTCTAGCCTAGAGGGAAAAGTGTCCCCTACTAGTTTGCCTGAGAGCATAAGAATAATTTCCGGTATGTGCAAGCTACCCAGTCATATTGCTGAAGCCGATACCCTGGCTTCTGGCAAGAAACAGATGGGTGAGATCCTTAAAACTACCCAATGGCCTAGATGGGCTTAATGATCTGGCCTCCTCTCGTTTGTAACCTTATGTTTGTTTGTAAAGGAGATAAACTTTGAATTGGTCAAACTAGGTCACAAGGAGCAAATTCATACACTGTCATATCTTAAAAAACTTTCCTTCTTCTGAACAGATTTTATTTCGATTTCGCAGAGAATCGTTTACCCCCCGAAAGGTGCCAACATGTTCTTTGCTTGTTGATTACAGCGAGAACGTGCGACAGGAGTGTAGCACCGTAGTTAACAAGATCAACATCATGAACATGAAGCTCACTGCCTGCCTCAAGACAGAGGAGAAACTCGTCAGACTGTGAGTCTCACTGTCATGGGGGCCTAATTCTCCTGCTTTCTTCTTCTGACCTGCAAGTGCTCGCAGCCTGCACTCTGCAGCAAAGAAGACGGTAAACTCTCCTTGCAGTGCTGGGGTTAACTGACCCTGAAAGAAGACTGACGTCGAAATGTATCCTTGCACCTGGTTTCTTCGGGTTGTTGACTGGTCTCCAAAATGGCAGATGCCACTGGAAGGTCTGGACATGGGACAGCTCACGTCTCCCACGGTTTTCCTGACGTTTTCTGCAGTTTGTTTAATACATTGTTTATAAAAGGAGTTTGCACCCCTGGTGCTGGAGAGCCCTTGTCCAGCAGGTGTTATACAGTAGGTAACCATTACATCATCAAGACTTGGAAGGATTTAATTGCGATCAGTTATAGTACGTAGGTGGTTTGTTAAACTGAGCACTTGAGAGACCATTCGGAAGGAATCTCTGAATAGCCTTCAGCCCACAAAGACAAGAGTAACCTTCATTGAACAAACCACTTGTGAGTATTGCTGCTCATAAGGAGTTGATTTGACGTGACCTGCAGGGCTGGCTGGGTTGGGGACTGGTTGGACTGGGGACTACTTTGGATGCATCGAAATGCCTCTCCTATGATTTCGCTGTATTTGGCATGTACATCCATCTGGCATTTTTGCCATCTGCAATAACAGGAAGTGATATGATGGCATTACCAAAAAGCTGGTAACTTAGTGTTGTGCACGGACAATAGAGTGTACAATACATCTCTGCGTTGGCGTGTTTCTGTATAATACAGTGCAAGTGGAGAAAGAGGCCCCTCTCCATCCTGTCCTCTCTGGACCTTTACCTGTCTTTTCAAGAACACCTCGTCTCCTGTTCCCCCAGGGGCCAGTCTGCAGGGGACTACAAGACACCGGAACGTGCCGACCACTTGGAGCACAAGAAGAAACTGCACCTGGTGAGGACT